CAGTATGAGGGTTGTTACAGTGCTAGTCCTCCATATATGGAGGACAAGTCCGTGCATTCCAGCTGGCATAGCAGGCTTGCACAATGTCTGAAAAAGACAAAAGGGAGGCACCATCCAGAAAAAGAGACAACCCTTTCCCAAGTGGCATACACGCCACCGTGGTTTTGCCAGTCAACTTTCACTAACGGGATCTCTTTGTTCCTCAATTTCTTGATCCGTCTGTTCACAATCTGTATAGGCCGTTCCTCGTAAGTGTAGTCATCACTCAACACTACTCGAGTAGGCTCAATCACATGGAAGGGATCCCGGAGATAATCTCTTAACATGGAGATGTGGAAGACGTTATGCATATGCTCCATTTCAGGAGGGAGCGCAACTTGATACGCCACCGGATTGATTTTCTCAATGATCTCGTATGGTCCGACGTATCTCGGTGCTAACTTGCCTTTGACTCCAAAACGAGTCTGGCCCTTCATTAGTGTCACTTTCACAAAAACGTGATCACCCACTTCATACTCTCTATCCCGTCTCCTAACATCCGCATAACTTTTCTGTCTACTCTGTACAGTTTTCAGTCTTTGCTGTATCAGTTTCACTTTTTCAGTTGTTTCATACACAATCTCGGGCCCAAGCAAAGGCCCATCTCCAACTTCTGCCCAGCAAATTGGAGATCTACATTTTCTGCCATACAATGCCTCAAAAGGCGCCATACCAATACGCGAATGGTAGCTGTTGTTGTAGGCGAATTCAACTAATGGCAGATGACTTTCCCAGTCTCCCTGAAAATCAAGGACACACATTCTCAGTAAATCCTCCAGAGTTTGGATGGTCCTTTCTGATTGGCCATCTGTCTGAGGATGATAGGCACTACTCAATCTCAGTTCAGTACCCAGTGCAGTTTGTAGGCTTTGCCAAAACCTCGATGTAAACTTCGAATCCCTGTCAGAAACAATAGACACAGGCACTCCATGCAGTCTTACAATTTCATCAATATAAATAACAGCCAATTTGTCCGCATTATAAATCGTCTTGACAGGTAAGAAGTGAGCAGATTTGGTTAATCTATCAACAATAACCCAAATTGAATCCATACCTTTTCTGGAGCGAGGCAATCCAACGATAAAATCCATCGTGATATGCTCCCATTTCCACTCTGGTATGGATAAGGGCTGCAATAAGCCTGCGGGTCGTTGATGTTCAGCTTTGACCTGTATTCAAACCCATTTTCAAGAACAACATTCAAACATGTCATGTATGAGTTTGGACTCAATGGGATTTTTCTCATTCCTCTTTTCAGCCTTTCGGTTATCTTCTTCAATTCTTAATCTTACAATCAATTCATCCATAGTCATCTCTTTGCGTTTATGTTTTAAATAATTTTTGAAATCTTTCCAAGCCGGTGGTAACTTTTCCACTAAAGCTGCGACTTGGAATGACTCGCTAAGAGACATACCTTCTGAATGAATATCATGCAAAATTATTTGAAAACTTTGAACTTGAGATATTACCGTTTGGGAGTCTACCATAACAAAGTCCAGAAATTTACCGGCGACAAATTTCTTCGTGCCGGCATCTTCTGTCTTGTATTTCTTCTCCAAAGAATCCCACAATTCTTTTGTTGTTTTCAGAGGACTGTATACATTATACAGCATATTGTCAAGGCCATTTAGGATGTAGTTTCTGCACAGGAAATCTGAATGTTTCCAAGCATCTACAGCGGCAACAACTTGCCGATCACTTTCACCCTCTTTAAGTGCTGGAGCCTCTTCATGGAGAAACCGGGCCAAATTAAGAGTTGTAAGATAGAACAGCATCTTCTGCTGCCATCTCTTAAACTCGGTACCATTAAATTTTTCCGGTTTTTCTCCATGATTGATTGGTACATGAACATGGTTCTGGATAGGGACCGATGTAGGTGTAACAATAGGAGTACCACTGCCAGATGCAGTTTCAGTTGTAGTAGCCATAATCTCTGATTACAAAAATCAGAAAATATTAAAACACAAATTAATTTTCTAGTTACTAAAACCAGAAAATAATTGTAATAACAAAATAATTTTATTTTCCTTGTTACTAAAACTAGAAAAATAAAATATCACAAGAATTTTCTGTAATACCAAATAATATTCTGAATTGTTAATGACACCAGTATCGTACTACTAGTAGTTGTCAAAGAAAAGAGACAGTATATTACTACTATCTGTCAAATAGCATAAATCACTATTTGTTTTTCCAACCAGAATATTAATTTGAAAACACAGAAAATTAAATACAATGAAGATACCCAAAAAGGAGTCTGTCTTAAGATTGTAGGACAATCTTCACCGTATTTAAAAGGTTTTAATTCTGTTGTGTACAAAACAGCAACAAGAATAGAAGAAATAGAGAAAAGGAGAGAATATGTTTGATTACAAAAATCAAACTCAAAATAAAAATAAATAAATAAATAACAGATTTTATTTTGTTACAAAAACAAAATTAAAATCCGAATAAATAAACAAATAAAAACAACACTGAAAGTAATTAAATAACTTACTTGATTTAATTTCTTCGAATTATTTTTCCTGATCAAGTCCAGTGTTTAACACTGTGTCCTTAAGACAGATTCGTCCTCTCCACGGTGCTTTCAGAATTCGGACGTCTATCTCCCAGGATGAAATGATCTTCCACAAACAATAGCAGCACTACTAATTGTTTGCCTTACGAACACACTAAGTGTTTACACTCTTTCTTTAGAAAATAAAATGCAGCAAGATGAAGAATAGAAAACAGAAGTGAAATACGAAATTTCTGAATGCAAAATACGAAATTTCTGCACTAGCCCTGAATCACTCAAACACACTGTATTTCACTGCATACACACTGGTACCCAGCATTTGCTTGAGTCTGAAAATATGCACACATGCTATACTGTACTGAACCACCCGAACACGCTGACGCATCACACGTAGTTCACTGTAAGCACACCGGCACCCGGTATTTGCTTGAATCTGTTAAACTTGCACACATGCTACATCTGCTCTGAACCACCCGAACACGCTAACGCATCACACGTTGTAGTTCACTGTAAGCACACAGGCACCCGGTATTTGCTTGAGTCTGAAAATATGCACACATGCTGTACTGTACTGAATCACCTGAACACGCTGACGCATCACACGCTGTAGTTCACTGTAAGCACACCGGCACCCGGTATTTGTTTAAATCTATCGAACTTGCACACATGCTACATCTGCTCTGAACCACCCGAACACGCTGACGCATCACACGCTGTAGTTCACTGTAAGCTTCTTAGAACTGCATTTTGACTGTTGCCTTGCAATTGTTGTTTTTTTTTTTGTTTACAGGAGGATTCCCATACCATTCGTGGGTATGGGAACACCGGCGCTCGGAACTGGTATGCCGAGCTTCCCGATGCGGTCCGTCGCATCGTGGACCAGGCGGGCTTCGGCGCTGGGGGGCAGAGAGAAGAAGAATGCGTTTACCACTTGTTGAAATTTGTAGCAATTTACAATTTGGTTAAACCAATATGATGCTTAACCGAAGTTAAGCAGAGATGATATGTAATGACCCGACCCTCGTCTATGATTCTGGTATACTTTCAGTTTCCTTATTCTGTATATTTATATACTTATTGTGAAATTCCATGTGGAATTACGGTTAAGTAAGTAAATCTTGTGTTTAAAGATGTCTACCTGTTGAACAAGAAAAGTATCTGTTACATGTAGAATGTTGGAAGCAGAAATTGGAAGCCTTAACGGCTTAATTATCTGAAATTGAAGTTATATATGTGATCAACATAATTTTTAAGTAATATTAAATGTTTTTGTGAAATTTCAATTTGGGATGCTTAAACGATTGATTTTTGTCCTATTCAATTATTATAACATAATATATATATGTATACTCTAGTCATTGACTTGGACCCAAAAACACAAAAAACTATTTTCTAAGAGGGTTAGAAGAGGAGAATTAGGGAGAAAGAAGAAGGAGCTTCCAAGGAAGAAGATTGGGAAATTAAAGGGGTTACAAAGATTTTAAGGTAGAGTATGTGTAATTCATTCTTCTTGATTCCTCTCTTTGATAATTAAGTAGAAATTTCTTTATGTTATATAAGTTAGGGTTTATGTTATGGAACAAATGTGTGGAATGATTAATTAGAATCATGTTTTTGAAGCTTGATTATGTAGCTAAATGATCATGTGTGTATATATAACTATGTGTGAAAAGATAGGAATGTTATGAAGTTAAGTTGTGTTTGTGAGTTAAGATCAAAAGTCAAAATTGTATGAAGATTGATCTATGTTATAGCTCCTATTTACATGATTTTGAACCATGTTTCATCAATTAAAAGAACCTATTTTGAACCTTGAAAAATGTATCAAAAATTGGGTTTTTCTGCATTTTTGGACTGCTTTCTGCTGGAATCGCCGCACGTGCGGAAGGCCTGCCGCCACGTGCGGAAGGCCTGCCGCACGTGCGGCCCATGCTGCAAAAATTTGTTTGCTCGGTTTTACGTGCTTAACCCTCTGGTATTTTTAGAATTTGTGTTTGATGTCCCTAAGATGCTTGTAAATTCATTCGAAGTAAACTAAAGCAGGAAAGGAATTAAGAAAGCAAAAGAACTAATGACTAAGTTATGTGTATGTACAGGGCACACTCCAGGAGGGGCAAGCACTCCGTTGTAGCACTGTGAGTAGTAGTACAAGAATGTACACCTTATATACTATTGACAATTATTGTCACTAATGCTCTGTTCTTTGTAAGTATTATTTAAACATCATGACAATTGGAAAGCAATGTGAGCTTATATGAACGCTGAAAGATTTGCGTACGTCGGTATGATTTTGGAATCCTTATATTCCGTTAATGACGAATATTAGCCCTTTGTTATTTATCAGTATAGTATGTTATTTCTTAAAGAATAAGTGGAACTTATGTTCATCCTTGAAGAATGATGTTGTGTGAATTTAAGATTATGTTACGAAGGGATCCAAGAACGTTTAGAATCTATGATAGGAATGTAAAGGTTTACCATTAGTATGCAACCCACATAAGAATATGAATCATTCTATTTTGTTAAGTGCATGAGAATGACATGATATAACAAGAAAAGCTCTGTTTTCTATTAACTTAATGATTATTCATATATGTAGAAGTATTCACATCATCTTTAGCACAAGGCCCTTACCCAGGGATAATAATACCGTGGTTCAAATAATTAAGTTACAAGTTTACGTATGTTCTAAGTTTAAGTCTGTTATAAGTTTACGTATGCTCTAAGTCAAGAATGTTACAAGTTTATATATGTGTGACAAGTTCAAATATGTACAAGTTTAAGTAAGGTTACAAGTACAAGTATGTACAAGTTTAAATGTGTTACAAGTTTTCAAGTTTAAGTATGTTATAAGTTCATGTATGTTACAAGTCCAAGTATGTTATAAGTCCATGTATGTTATAAATTCAAGTATGTTACAAGTATACGCATGTTATAAGTTTAAGTACGATACAAGTTTAAGTACGATACAAGCGTAAGTATGTTACAAGCTACGTTACATGCTTACATATGTACAAGTTCAAGTGTATTATAAGTTCACAATGTTGAGGAATTTCTTTATAGAACTAACAAGAATGCTTTTTATTGATTTGCCAGCGCTATTAAAAGGCTAAGTATAAGTAAGTATGAATTCTAATTTCTGTTAATGATTCAAGCATAATGCATATGTATGAATTTATTTCCGTTTATAGTATGACATTTATGTATGGTTTGGTCTGTAAGACATGCTAATTATTGGTATGGAACAAAGTGCTACTTGGAACTAAGTGCTACATTGTGAGCCACCGCTAGAGTCCATGTGAGACACCTCTTATGCCATTCTGACAAGGGCTTCATGCCATATGTACAAGGGCTATATGCCACCATGTTTAAGGGCTCCATGCCATATGTTCAAGGGCTATATGCCATCATGTTTAAAAGCTTAATGTTAATGTGTTCAAGGGCTTAAAACCATTATGACTCACGGTTGGGGCCTAAGGCCATTTAAAATGAAAACAGGAACAGATTAACTACATGATCTTCGCATTTATTTATGCATTGTTATGTATTATGTTTAAATTGTGCATTTATGTATCATACTATTCACTGAGCTTGGCTCACCCTATGTTATGTCTGTTTCTGTAGGTAACCAACCAAGTGGTCAGTCCTAAACCATGACGCTTGTCCTCTTTGGTCAACCTTTCCATGTCCAAGCCTAAGAGAAGCTGCTCTTGTTTTCATGAAGTTTTGACGAACTTTGGTTTTGCACTCTAGTTGTGGGCCTAAGGTTGAAATGTGTACAACACTTTCTTCCGAAATGTTTTGGTGTATGCCCAATTATAGAGCTGGGCTTGTGTATATGTGCGTATATATCCGATATTCAGATGTATGTTTTAGATTTTATTTGTCTGTTTAAAGTTTGTGATCCTGGCATGATAGTAGTAGCTTAATGGAGTTTGTTTCTATTGTCAAATTCTGATATTTAATGCTTCCGTTCAGGCCCCATATATTATATATATAACAGGTTAAGTGTCTGTTTCTGAAGTGGTCATGCCCAAACTTTTAGGGGCGGATTTGGGGTGTGACAGGGACTATCCAGACTCACGACCTGCAGGCCCTTGCTCGCCGCTCTAGTGGAGAGGTGGTGGGACACCACCGACTCGTTCTATTTGTCTGCGACGGGAGACATGACGATGACTCCCTATGATTTCTCGATGCTCACAGGCATCGGGGTAGGGGGTGATCCGATCCCCTTTGATACTGACATGGACGAGTGGACTGCCGCTCAGATCTATCTGCTTGGTGAGGTGCCACCTCTCGCTCGTCCAGGCTTTGTTCGTTACTCCTGGTTCGAGGTGCAGTTCAGGGTCCAGCCCGCGTTGGTGGAGGAGGCGCAGATGACTCAGGAGGCCGTGGAGAGGTATGCGCGCGGCTTTCTCATGTTCCTTCCGGGGACGACTATTTTCGCCGACCGGGCGAACACCGTGCCCCTCTACCTGCTTAGTGCTTTGGTGGATGTCAGGCAGATCTTGCACTATGATTGGGGTGACGTCGCCCTGGCCACACTCTACGGGTATATGAGTTCGGCTTCCCGTGGCAGCGGACAGATGCTCGGAGGCTACTAGCGTGCTTGGGAGGTACGTTTCTTTCCCGCTTTTCATTTTTGCTTTTCTATCTTCTGTACTTTGTACTGTATTCTGTATTGCACATACTGTAGTCTGTTTTTCACTAACTGTATACTGCACAGGCGGCACACATATACACTCTGCTTTACACTGACTGTACACTGCTCACACTGTACACTGTACACAATACACTGCACAACACACGGCTCGGCCATTTCTGCTTTATTCTGTGTTTTGCTTTATCTGATAGTCATATTGATGTTTTCGCTGCAGTTGTGGGTTTACGCCTACTTTCCCAGGCTTGCACCCGTGCCAGACACGGAGACCCCCCTCGTCGTCCCATTCTCGTGACGCTTCGACGGGAGATGCACGCGGAGGCCACGAGAGACATTTAGCTTCTTTCGCCGTTACTTCGACACCATCACCCCTGCCGAGGTATGTTTTTTTTTATTTCAGAATTTATCTAAGCTTTGCTTTTCACTGCATACTTCAATAGCGATAGATAACAAACTGTATGTCACTTTCAGATCACGTGGCAGCCTTGGGCTCCGTTGCCGGCGACGATTCGGGACTGATTTGCCGGTGCTGAGGAGACCTCGCGTTTCCGGATCTTATTGGAGGGTCTGGTCTGTCGGGCTTGGTACCTGGGTGAGCGTTTCCTACGCCAGACCCTAGGGTTACCAGAGCAGTTAATCCCGGTTCACCCTCCTGAGGACATGAGGGAGACCGAGAGGCTCACTACCGAGCAGATGGCCGATTATACTATTGGCTGGGAGGCGACCCGTTTTAGAGGCATCGGCGACTACAGAGAGTACGTGCAGATGTACATTATGCGGTCTCTGAGCGGCGACCGTCGAGCTGAGGGAGCCAGACTCGTGGCGCCAGCAGCTAGGGCAGGAGCGGGAGCTGGAGCAGGAGCTTCGAGGAGGGCTCGAGTCCGTGGCAGGGGCGGAGTTCAGGGAGGACGGGGGACCGGTTGGCCTGCTCTGCCCACCGTACTGACATACAGAGGGCAGGATGGGGCGACCTACCAGATCCCTTTTGCTCCTCCCCCTGCTGGTCATGAGTTAGCTGGCATCCCCGACTTGCCTCCGGTATGTATTACTTCATTTTGCATCTTGCATTGGCATTTCATTTCAGTTTGTTTGATATTCCACAGAATACTGATATATCTTGTACTTTTGCAGGCGTCCTCCGAGTATACCCGGCAGCCCGTGGAGCTGAATGCCTCCATGATGGGGATGCTACAGCGGACCTTCGACCTCTTGGCCCTCTACAGCATTCCGGTATGTTCTTCTGATCACGGCCTCAAATCACTCATACACTGATTCACGTAATCTGCTGCACAACACAACACCTGACACACTGATCTCACAGCGTCTGATACACTGCATACACTGCATTCTGCACTGCTTAATGGAGTTTGTTTCTATTGTCAAATTCTGATATTTAATGCTTCCGTTCAGGCCCCATATATTATATATATAACAGGTTAAGTGTCTGTTTCTGAAGTGGTCATGCCCAAACTTTTAGGGGCGGATTTGGGGTGTGACAGGGACTATCCAGACTCACGACCTGCAGGCCCTTGCTCGCCGCTCTAGTGGAGAGGTGGTGGGACACCACCGACTCGTTCCATTTGTCTGCGACGGGAGACATGACGATGACTTCGTATGATTTCTCGATGCTCACAGGCATCGGGGTAGGGGGTGATCCGATCCCCTTTGATACTGACATGGACGAGTGGACTGCCGCTCAGATCTATCTGCTTGGTGAGGTGCCATCTCTCGCTCGTCCAGGCTTTGTTCGTTACTCCTGGTTCGAGGTGCAGTTCAGGGTCCAGCCCGCGTTGGTGGAGGAGGCGAAGATGACTCAGGAGGCCGTGGAGAGGTATGCGCGCGGCTTTCTCATGTTCCTTTTGGGGACGACTATTTTCGCCGACCGAGCGAACACCGTGCCCCTCTGCCTGCTTAGTGCTTTGGTGGACGTCAGGCAGATCTTGCACTATGATTGGGGTGACGCCGCCCTGGCCACACTCTACGGGTATATGAGCTCGGCTTCCCGTGGCAGCGGACAGATGCTCGGAGGCTACTAGCGTGCTTGGGAGGTACGTTTCTTTCCCGCTTTTCATTTATGCTTTTCTATCTTCTGTACTTTG